CTTTCGGTTTGGTACGCGAACTCGATGAGAGGCTCAAGACCTTCATCGGTGACTCTCCTCATGGTTCCGATACATTTGACCTAGAGAGATCTGTCAGACAGAACTGGAAGGCTCTCAAGGCCTTGACGGGCCGCGCGTGGGTAGGTATCTAAGAACCTATGACCATATATCAACACAACCCGAAAGAAAACTGACCACTTGAAATCGGTAACAGTTCAAACGTGGGTGGATTGTCCAGGAGATAGGAACATGCACACCGGCAACGATGCTCTGGGGTGACGCCACGATGGACTGGGAATTACTGGCCAGCGTTTGCGAGAGACTGAAGTGTTACCACCATCTCCGCAGTACACTGAGCATCAATACGTCCGAAATTTCATTCCTTTTCCGACGTTTTACGGAGCCAGACGAAAATACTCACCATGCGAATCGATATAACTTCGTGTACGAGCTTCAGCGGGCGCGGCATTTGCGCTTCAGCGACGACAGAGACCGGGTTTTTGCGTTCCTCGGGCACTTTTCCACCCACTCGCTTCATCCTCTAAGCTTGGGGCCGGTGTCAATCGCAGCCGATTACACGAAGACTATTGAGCAGACGTACATCAACTTAGCGGTGCAAATATTACGAGCGAACCCGGATGCGACATGCATTTTGTTAGCAGCAGTACAACATCCGCGGCGACTTTCTTGGGATGCAAATCTTAAGAAGAGAGCTCATTCTCGCCACAGTCTCCCATCCTGTCACGAAACGCCAATACAAGCGGAGTTAGCCATGGAAGCATGGCGTTGGGACAAATATACGCTGCCATCTTGGGTTCCCGACTGGAGATGGTCCGAAGGTATCATCCTTGCAGAGCCAATATGTCCGCACCGCGCCCATGGAGATTCGACTACATCGCTTGAGATCGTAGAGCCAAATGGTCTTATGCTTAGAATTCATGGTGTGGAGATCGATAACGTGGAGGTGTGTTCACAAGCGTTGCTAGCGGAAGACTTTTACAACAAAACGATGCGTAATCAGTCTCCCACTCTGATAGAATGGCTATGGAAAGATATCTGTGGTAAGACACACTTTAGCCTGGACGAAAAATATCTCAACGACCAGACAGCCTTCTTCGCGTTTATGCAGACGCTCAGCAATGGTTGTGTACAGGCTGCAGGACATGAGTGTAGGCCATACCATGAGATCCCGGATCACGTGTGGCTGCAAAAGGCAGCCAGGTATGTCGTAGCCACTCTAGGAGCGTCTGGCGAAGTATCGGAAGAGATTTGGAGACTTGGCACAGGTGCAGAGCTTGAAGGGGACCATGAAAAGTGGAGTCGATGGGGAGCCTCGGCGTCAGAAGGCCGTACTTTTGCAAAGACGGAAATGGGATATTATGTACTCGGCCCGACGGCATTGGAAGTTGGAGATGTTGTTTGTGTTCTATTCGGCAGCAAGGTGCCGTTCTGCCTTAGGCCCATGGGCAGGCGTTACTTGTTTGTGGGCGAATGCTATGCTCACGGCCTGATGAAAGGAGAGGCAATGGCAATGTTAGCTCGGGACGAGCTTCATGAGAAGGTATTTGATATTGTTTAAGTCGTCTTAGTCTAGTTTCAAGCTCCACATTCCATCTGCCCTAGGAGCCGCATCTTGCTTGCTACTCAGGTGGAATACCGGCTCACTTCCAGTCTACTAAATCTAAACATTCAATCACTACGTATCACATTTGACATTTCGAAAGACGACGTGGAATCCCGGATGGTAGTGCCCTTCCGCTGAGGGCTCCTCTAGACAAGGAATTCGTATCATGATACAGCTTGACATAGCTTTTGGGTCGGAACTGAAGACCAAAAGGTATGGCCATTTATTTGATTTGATTTGATTCATGGCAGCACCTAGATGATATACCTAGGTGCCCGCGACTTAGATGTGCGGCGACTTTCACCAACATGGGCTAGACGCTAATAGTTTGCTTTTCCGATCTAAAAGAACGACCATGGACATTTCCCCAGCGTACTGGAATTCAACTGTTTACTTGAGCGCCAAGGGCGCATATTGGCGGGGACATCACGCCGCGCATCTGGGTAATTGAGTGCTGGGCGCACAAAACCTCAACAGCCGTCAGGCTTGTTTCCAAATAGACAGTCAATGCCCCATGAGATGTACCTACCGACAGGGTAAAATCGCGTGATTGACTGTCTCTTGTATTCCCTACATAACGACCAGTGTCAAATGCATCATCCGTCATCACCAAAGGTCCACAACGGAGTAGTCTTGGCCTTGGAAGGAAGGACTTTGTCGTTCGGCCATCAGCACTAAGCAGTTTCCAGCAACCCTCAAAAGCTGGGAGTATTCGCTCTGGGATTTAAATAAGCTGCTGCATCCTTCGCTGCAGCCATGCGTCGACCGAGTTTCTTGAACTTTCACCCACATGTACAAGCTGTCAACGAATCAAAATGACTACCCAAATCCCATCCATCTACAAAGCCGTCTTCCTCTACTGGGACCCCCCGTGTGCGCTATGGGGCGCTTTCATGTCCTACTTCACTCGCGACTGGATGCTTGACCAGTTCTTCCTCGACTCCCACACCGGAACGCGCGACGCAGCCCACGACCTGCTTCTCTACCAGGGCGGCGGAGCCATGGTCGGCTGTGCCATACTCAACGGCGTGCTCCTACGATACACAAAGGACATCGGGGTTTGGAAGATCGCGCAAGCAGCTATTCTAGCGATCGACCTTTCGCTGCTTGCAGGCACCATCGAGGTCTTCGGGAAGCAAGGTCGCCTGTCCCCGACCACGTGGCAGGCCGGGGACTGGGTGGGGATGATCATCACGATTGGAGTGACGGTTGCGAGGGTGTCATTTCTGGCAGAGCTTGGCTTCAAGAAGCAGAAGACTCGATAAACCTATTCTTAGACGGTCGTCTGCCATCAATCAGGAAGCCATGATAGCATACCATAGCCGTGTGGATTGATTGCTGAAGGAAAGAGGCACCACGGAGTAGTGCTGGATAGCCTACGGGGAAGATATTGGTGGAAAGCAGCGTTATACCATACGGCCCCAACATTGAATGAACATCTCAAGCCAAAACCTTCAGACCCTATTCCATCTTTTACAATTTGCTGATAAAGTGAACCTCCTTATCTCCCTTCTCGCTAGGAAACGTTGGTGGCTCCCGATCGACGGGCCCCTGAAGCCACCTTATCATCCTCTGCGTCGCCTTCCGTGGGTTCATCCCATCGGCTGCCGTTCGAAATCGTGATTAGCATCAAGCAAAGAACTCTCGGGAGGGCATTTACGACTCACCATATCCAATGAAGGGAATCGCACTCCGGTACCCCATCATATCCACAATCTTCTTCGGAATCTCTCCCGAAAGCGCCCTCCTCGGATCGATCCCAATCATCAAGTTCTCAATCGGCCGAATATATGGCTGACAGTACTGAATGGTCGCCGCATACCTCGGCTTCTGGCTGCGATTCGCTCCGCCAGAGTGCCACGTCGTGCCCAAAAAGTAAATCACACTTCCCCTCGGACACACCGCCGGAATCGCCTCATGCTCCGCCCCGATCCTATCACTCCCCCAGAGGTGCGACCCAGGTATGATCCGCGTGGCGCCATTCGTCTCGGTGTAATCATCCAGCACAATCATCGTCGCCGCCGTGACAGGCGGCCTCGGCCGCGGGAGATGAGTTACACTGTCATCGTGGTGGAGGACTTGGTTCTTCTCGCCCGGGTTGATGACGATCGTCTCCATGATGTAGATAAGGTAATCCTCATCGAGGAAGTAGTCGTTCAGAGCCAGCACCTGTGGCAGAAGCACGAACTTGTCGAAGGCGCGGGTCTTGCCTAGCAGGGAAAAGATACGGTTCGTCTTGAATCCGTCAAAGGCGTGCATGCCGCCTTTGGGATCTTTGCCGTGGAGCCGATCGATTTCGGCGACAGCATTTTTGGCTTCGGCCTCGGTGAATACGTTTGGGATTACAACGTAGCCATTTTCGAGGACTGTCTGGACGTAAGCTTTGATAGTTGGGTCAGTCGGGAGAGGCTTTTGTTTGCGGATGTAGTAGTCCACTGGCACGGGGTCAGCAGCTTGAGGATCTTTGTCTGGGGATGGTGAAGACATGATGGATGGCTTAGGGTAGACTGCAGAAATCACTTTGGTCATGAAGATGGCAACAGACGGAAGAGGGAAGTCCATCTTCACGACAACGTCGAGACGACGTCCCAGCTCGTCCTAAATGCCATGACTCCTGAAGGATGCATGCCGGGTAAATTTGAAGGTAAGTACTGAATGTGATAGGCTATGTGATTGTTGCAAAACCCGTCAGCGTCAGCCCTCGAATCAGGTCAAAATGTACATTTTACGACTTCCCTTCAAGGTCTCCGTAAGCTGATGTGAGACTTTAACCCGGGCGGCCGGGTTGGGTCAGCGCATGGCTACTCATTGAGTAACATATAGAAATGATCTTCATTGACTCTGTCGTAAGCTGGGTCTTTTAGTATGGTCCTCCAGCTGTCGCAGAGCCACGGCGAGATAAAATCCGGGGTCGGCGAGTTTTGCATGGAGCCGGCCAAGGCCACATCCATGCATTTTTGCCAAGCAAACTCCAAATTCGTTCTGCTGTCTTTATGAAAAAGATTCTTACAGGTTTCCAGATCAAGGCAAACTTTGAAGAGAAACTCGTGCTCAAATCTTTGGGTGATTGAATCAACCCAAGTCTTCCGTCTCATCGGAATATTTGGCACACATACCTCTCATCGTCATTCTTGCTTACACTGATACTTTTTCAAGATTCAAGGCTGATACAGAATGTTTTCAGTTCTGTTCATAGAACGAAGATCCCGATCACCAAAGTGCGTCCATGGAAACATCGACGCAAGTGTCAAATTTGATTGCAATGATACTCGATTGAAAATGCGTCGCTTGGCAAACTGTCTGTCTATCTGCTGCTAATTATGTTCCTCCTTGTACGCCCCTTTCCATGTCACGCAACTCCCAAAATCATCTCCATTCACGCCAGAATCATCTCTGCAAGCTCGAGAACACGAACCATGTCCTTCTTCAGAAGAGCCTCATGATGACGAGCAGACTCCTTTCTCTTGGCCAGAGCCATCATGTAGTCATTGCGCATCGCCCGAACAGTGGCATTTGTCTGGGCTGTCAGTTCCTTAACATAGCTGTCCATTGCTTGGTGCAGAATGTAGAGGGAACCTCCCATCGCAATGTTGAACATCTCGTTCATGTGAGCACGAATATGCTGCTCTATGAGACCGCGCCATCGTTTCTTTGATCCATCGCCTGCGAATGACAGATCAGCATATAGCTTTCCAATGTAAGGTGCGAGGAAAAGTGTTTACCTTTTATATTCATGCAAGAGCGGTAGACTGGGTTCATCTGTTCCGCGATTATCTGCAGGGGCCTTCGGCTGGCATCTTTCTGGGCCTCGTTGATGTAGAACTTCGATTGCGTGATGAGTCGCTTAAAGGCTTCCTGGTGAAAATCGCGCTGTTGCCGAAGTCTCTTCGTAGACTGTGTCTCTACCTGTCCATCTTCTTCGAGTTGTCTCATGATTCTCTTGTGGAAGTAGTTGATCTGAGAATGTGTCTCCAGGAGAACGTCATCCAAATTGGAAGGGACGCCCAGACGGAATGTCATCATCCAGTCGTCAAAGATGTTCAATTGATATTCGTGGAGAAGCTCCTTATTGAAGTCTCGAGTCTTCCACACACCTCCTCGGCAGAATGTTGCCTTGAGAGTCGCGTGGTGCATGACTTTGAACCAGCCCGAAGCCACTTCCAAAGCCACCACTTTTGCGTTATACGAGAGTGCGGTCATCTTACGACAGATACCGTCCTTAATACTGGCTTGAAGCTTCTGCACACCTGCTTCAGTAACCGAAAGCATTTCCTAAACGTGTAAGCCTGGATATTCAAGAAGGATACGGGGTAATTGGGGACACTCACTTGCTCAAACTCATCCAGAAGAGACCTCAGCATTTCTGCGTCCAATGCAGTGTTGAAGTCTGGCACATTCTGTGTCCATAGAGAGATGGAATTAAGAAGCTGAGAAATGGTAGCGAGGACTTCTCGGTTCTTTGCAATTCGAAGATCATCGGTCAAGCCTTGCGCATGCCGCTGGAGCTGGGGGATCTCAGTATCCTGAGCGTCGTCAAACCCGGAGAGAGAGTCAGAGACGCCTGCTGAAAGCCCTTCGAGGCGCTGGTATGCACGGCTACTAATGCAGAACACCGGCAATCTCATGTTATCGTCGAGAAGATTGTCGGCAAGGTTAAAAGCTGCCGTTTGTTGCTGCGCCCTGGAAGCTATTAGCTCTTCGTACTTGAAGACTCTATCATTCTCTTGCATCTTGTGACTCACTCTCTCAGCACGCTGCGGAAATAATCTTGCAAGTTATTCCGCGAAATCTTGTTGCGCTTCTGAATGCATGCCTTCTTGACTTTCTCAGCAAGTCTCGTCTGCTCAGCTCTGACCTCCTCGAGCTTTTTTGACTTCTCAGTGACTTCGTCGGTTTTGATTCTCTTAGCTGGCTGCTCCATGTCCGGCTCATCATCAGGCTTCGAAGTCGTATCACCCTTGGCTCGCAGAGTTCTGATCGTCTGCTGAAGGACTCTGATATCCCCATCACACTCGATTGCCTTCTTCCACGCCTGCCTGGTATCAGGGTCCAGGCTTTTCTTGAAATTTTTCACTGCTTCCTCAACTTCTAGCTCATCTGTCATGGAACAGATGAAAGTAACGTTCGAGAGGGACCCATCGAGTCTGAGCTGTCGCTTGAACGCGTCGCTCATCAAGTCCTTAGCGACTTTGTTGTCGACCGCTCTTTTGATGGGTGCAACAATCCAGATACCTGCGCAGGATTTCATGTAGTTGCTGGCGATTGAAGCTCTTGCAGCATCATCGTCATGGCTCCCAGGCTATGGATTCCCTTGTCAGTGAACCTTTCGGTAACATGAACCTATTTCAACTTACAAGGTCGACGATCGTGACGCCGTTGGACAAGGCTTTGGCCTTGGTGAAGATTCTGACAGCCTTCACCATCGGCCAGTATGCAATCGCCTTCTCGCCATCTTTGTCGCCCGAGTCGATGTAGAGCTTGATAAAGGACTCAAGCTCATCTCCCGTCGAAGCTTTGAATTCCCGGGTTGTTCCAAGAACCTCGTGTACGTGTGGATGTCTGATGAGATCGTTTACAGAACTTCCGAGAAGAACTTTACTGTCCATGTTGGCGTAGACGGCTCTGGCTTTCGCAACCGACTTCGCAACCTCGGCCTGCTTGTTGGTGACCTTGTCGTCGAACCCGGCATGATTGACAGCAACTTCCTTGAGAAAGATCTCAATTTCATGCATCCATTCCTCCCGGGAAATGAAGTCGATCTGTGCTCGATAGGGGTTCTCTGGGTCATCGTCGTTATTGTACGACAGCTCGGTCACACATGCAGTGCAGGCACGCCCACAATTCGTTGGAAGTAAGCTACGCAAATGTTAGTATCAGCCTAGTGCTCCAGGGAAATGAAAGATTCACCTTTTCTCGCCCAAAAGGGCGTTAATACAAGAAGACTTTCCGTCTCCCGTGTTTCCAAAAACTCCGATGATGACCTTGCCACTCTGAGCTGCTCGCTCTCGGACAACTTTCATTTGCTGGATCCAGCTCAGCGCAGCAGCCTTGATCTCGGCGTTGAGCTTCGAACATGAGGCGATGTTCTCGCAGATCGGCTCTAGCTTGTTCAGAATGAGCAGAGCCATGGCGACGAGCTCTTCCCAAACCTTGGGATTCTTCTCCTCCTTCAATTTGCTCGGAATAGAGAACACCATGTTTGCGGAAGTGCGATTATCATGGCCGCTGGCAGGCTTAGCCTTGATCTTCAACATGTTGGCGCGATGAAAATCAGTGAGGATTGTGACTTCCAATGGTAGATGCAAAAGTCTCTATGTGGCTTTTGTGTTATGATGCAACGAAGTTGAAAGTCGAAAAAAAAAATTGTCTGCCAAGTTCAGGGATAAGTAATGAGTAGCGCAATGGTAGGCTAAAGCTTTGGGTGAAAATGTGAAGGTCTGGTGCTGGGCTGAAAAGTTGTGGGTGGGAAAGGATAACAACGAAGTAGCAGAGACTAGGTGAGAGAATAAATACCTGAGATGCTATGAAATGAAGCAGGCAATAAACAGTGGAAACCCGCAAGCTGAGAAGGTACGGAAGAAGGCACCAAACAAAGGTGTGGAGCCTCTTTCCTTGCGAGTGAGGTTGAGGGAGAATGTGAGATTTTTAATGTCGAGGAAGGAGATACCCAGGGCCGATGGAAGAAAGAAAATCGATATTGGCAGCCGGTGGTGAAGAGGAGAAATATCTGTCGCGGAAAGAGTTGGTGACTAGATAAAAATTGTGCTGCAGCGAGAGAGTTTGAGCAAGAGGTGAACGCTGGAGGTAGAGGAGGCGGGAAAAATGAAGATAAGACTGTAGAATAGAAAAGATTGATGGCCACTTACCACTCTTGCATTTGAAGTATCCTCAGACCTTGATACGGTTCTGTTGGGAGTTTGTCGTGATTCACAATGGGTTGGTGGTGAGATGAAAGGTGAGATTGCGGACTGTGGATGCCCAGTCGGGAGAAAGTGAGGATTTAAATACTCCTTCCATTGAATTCTACCGTTGAGGAAGTACCCATCACCCAGTGACTTCTCAATATTGAGGATGTCCGTCTGTGGGAGCAAGAGCTGGTGTTGCTCCTTCCACCGCAACTCTCACCGAGGCCGAGTGAACCACCACCTCGGTGAGCCACCCGCTGCACACCGAAACACCGAAGATGGCCGAAGGAAGCCAGGAATAGATAGCGCGCCGGTGGAAAACGGCCCCAAACATGGCAAAGATCTTATCAGATCAAAAAGCGGCCCCGTCCATCCCGCTTTAAACCCCGCGGTTCCGCCACGAACGTCACACCAGATCCCTCGTAACCCACGCGACTCGCTCCTGCCCCTCCCGAGTCATAAAGCCGATAATTTCCCTCAAGAACACATCACCTCTCACTTCATACACCAGACTGTCACTCTCATCGATCCCTGCATCTTTTTTAGAATTTTTTCTTGCATTCTTGTCATATTTTCACCGTATCATTCACTGCATCTTATCGCATCACATACAGAAGGAGCAACGCCGAAAAGCGCAAACCACCGCAAAGATGGCCTCCGAACCACCACCGCCCGAACTCTTCACAAACGCCCGCGTCTTCCTCCTCAACCCCTCAGCAACACTCACCACGGAGCCCACCTTCGCCGAGGCCATGCTCGTCGCCGACGGGCGCATCGCAGCAGTCGGCGCCGCCGCCGACCTCGCCTCCGCGCACCCCACCGCCCGCGTCACCGACCTCGCCGGCCGCACCGTGCTGCCCGGCTTCATCGACGGCCACATGCACCTGCTCCTCCTCGGTCAGGGCCTGCGCAAGCTGTCCCTCGACGCCTGCACCTCCCTCGAGGAGATTCGTGCCGCCATCAAGGCCTTTGCGGCTGCGAACCCGGACGTGCCGCGCATCATGTGCAAGCTGTGGACGCAGCATGTAACGCCGGGTGGTGTGGATAGGCATATGCTGGACGATATTGATCCCAGGCCCATCTTTATTGACACAAAGGACTTGCATTCTACGTGGTGCAACACGGCGGCGGTGAAGGAGCTCGGCATTGAGGACATGAAGGACCCCGTGGGAGGGAAGATCCATCGCGACGCGGAGGGGAAGGCGACGGGCTTGCTGAGCGAGGCGGCGGTGCTTACCCTCGTCTGGCCTCATCTCGCACAGGTCGCGCCAAAGAAGGACAGGATGGACGCCATCAAGGCAGCGGTGGAATCGTACAATGCATCAGGCTACACAGGTCTCATCGAGATGGCCATGGACGAGCCGGCATGGGACGCCGTGTGCTCACTCCGCGCCGAGGAACCAGACCTACCGATGAGGATTCACGCCTACTGGCTCATCAGGCCCTCAGAGACAGAAGAAGAGCGCTTCAAGCAGGTGGACCGCGCCATCGAGCTCCACACGGAACTCAACAAGACAACCTCGCCCGATCTGCGCATCGTGGGCATCAAAGTCATCACCGACGGCATCATCGACGCCTGCACAGCCTACCTCTCCGAGCCCTACGCCGCCGCCGGCTCCCCGCCGCCCTTCTGGAACGCCTCCGACCTCAACCCCGTGGTAGCCCGCGCCGACGCCGCCGGGCTGCAGATCGCGCTGCACGCCATCGGCGACGCCGCGATCAAGATGGCCGTCGACGCGCTCGCCACGCACGCAACCCCGGGCCGCCGCCACCGCATCGAGCACATCGAGATGGCCTCGCCAGCGGACGCGCGCCGCCTGGGCGAGCTGGGGCTCACGGCGTCGGTGCAGCCCGTCCACGCGGACCCCGCGATCCTCAAGGCGTGGCCGCGGCTGATTGGCGCGCGGCGCTGCGAGCGCGCGTTCGCGTACCGCGAGTTCGCGGACCACGGGGCGCTGCTCGCACTCGGATCCGACGGGCCCACGGCGCCCTGGGCGCCGCTGCAGAACGCGTACATCGCGGCGACGAGGCGGTCCGCGAGGGAGCCGGGCTACGAGGTGGTGGTGAATGAGCATTTCAAATTGGGCGTGTGCGAGGCCATCACGGCCGGGGCGTATGGGACGGCCAAGAGCGTGTTCGCGGAAGATCGGATTGGCAGCCTGCAGGAGGGCAAGGTCGCTGACTTTGTGGTTGCAGATATGGACTGGTCACCGCAGGGTCTGCTCAAGGGGGAGATCAAGGCGACTTGGTTCGCGGGGAAGAGGGTTTGGGCGGCTCCAGACTTTGCTTGAAAGGAAGGGTGTGGTGTGGTGTGGTGTTTGGCAGGCAGCGGCTATTGGTTAGATGTTTTGATGACGGCGGAGAGGGTTGTGTTGGTTGGCTAGGTTGTTCGGCTCCCGCAAGTGTTGGCATATTTGTAAACGAACGTTCGTGTTGAGCCGCGGCTGCATGCTGCTTGGGTTTCATCCCATCTCGGTGGTGTTTCCGGGTTCGCGGCAGCAATGGCACTGTCCGCCCCAACAACCTGTCGCTCGACAGCGACAAGGGGGGGCCTCAGCTCTCGCCGATTGCCTCTTTGGGGAAAGGTCGCAGATCTCCCCAAGTCGGGGCAAAGTCGCGCTCGATTCGATGAAGGAGCGAAGAGATGCGAGAGGTTCGCTGCGAGCTCGGGCCGCCTATTCCTGGCATTCTTCGACTGTCAAGGCCGCCCAAGGGCCTCTCCGATGAGATTGGATAGAAAGGTGGGATGCCGAAGAATTCCAAAACCAAAACACTGAACAGCATGAGACCCTGGAGTTTCTTCCATGTGGAGTCCTGCAAATCTGTGATATTCAGCCAGTGATGCCATGCGCGAACAGACGTGTGCAGTGCATTCCCTCCCGTCCTTCCCTCGCTTTCGCACACCACCACCACACCATTCCATCCACATGGGGCAACGACAGAGATGCCGCGGCTGTGTCATGGATGTCGTCTCGTCTGAGGCTCTGCGATGGGCGCAATACAAGAAGGCCTTGATCACCCCCAAGACGGCCTAGAGTAGAAGCCCCGTCAGCCCATCACAATCTCGCTAGCCTTTTTTTTTTTTCTTCAAACCAGCTGGACCCTTCAAACGCACGGATTCTTCTCTGAGTCTCTCGAGTTCATCCTCCGGCAGTGGAAAAGATGCATCACCAACTGAGCCTATCGGCCCTCGCGTGCCTTGCCCCTCTGGTCCTCGCCCTGCCGCAGCCGCAGCAGCCACCGGCGCCATGTGCACCGGTCCAGATCGTCGTTGCCCGCGGCAGTCTCGAGGCGCAGGGTGCCGGTCTCCTCGGCAACATCGCCAACAAGTCGTCGATGGCGATTCCCGGCTCCATCATCACGCCGTTGGTGTATCCTGCGCAGCTTGACCCGTACCCGCCTTCAGTGTCTGCCGGCGTCGGCAACATGACGCAGCTCCTCACCTCGCAAGCCCAGGCATGCCCTAATACCAAGTTTGTGTTGATGGGATACTCTCAGGTAAGGTCTCTTGCGTTCGATGGCGGAAACCAGCGCTGACATGTTACAGGGTGCGCAAGTTTCGCTTGATACCCTCTGCGGAACGACAGACGGACCCAACTTCAACGCCACCCAGGCCCAAGCACCGATGCTTGGCAACAAGAGTAAGTTACTGGCCTGAAGATAGCATGTATCTCATGCTGACATGTTGCGCAGTCGCAGCCGTCGTCTTGGTCGGCGACCCAACCAGCATCGCGACGCAGCCCTTCCAGAAGGGCACCGCCAAGAAGAACGGCGTAAGTCCTCCTCTCCTCCTGCCGGCACATCACGACGTAGCTGACCGTCCACCAGATCTTCCCCCGCCAAGACTTCGGTGCCTGCCAAGGTCTGACGTCCAAGTTCATCTCCTTCTGCGACGAGACGGACCTGTTCTGCGCGTCGGGCCAGAACCTCACGGTCCACCTGGGCTACTTCCAGAAGCAGGACTACGTTGACCAGGCCGTCAACTTTGTCGCCATGAACAGCAAGTAGACGTGACGTGCGTGTATCATGCCAGAGCTGGATGCTCGGCCGGGAAAGAGAGGTCGTCGTGTGCAGGAGGGCTCATCGTTTTGCGATATCTCGGGAGGTTTTTCGTCTTTTTTTGGCAAGAGCATCCGGTCTTGACGATCGATCGACGCGCGCGAGGAGTTTGTGGGCAAAATACACTGGATGTAGCGTTGCGCTCTGGGTTTTTTTTCGTTTCGTGCTCGTCAGAAAAAGAGCAGGGCCTTCGAGCCGATTGAATAATTGAAGTATTTTAATGATCAAGAAAGTCCGGCAGTTGTTGGCTGTGACCCTGTGGTGGGAAATTAGCGATTATGTAATAATAT